TCTCGTTGGCGAGATCGTCGGCTCCCACTGTGGTCGCCAGATTGTTCGCGTGGAAAACTGTTGCTTTCTTCATTAATGAGATAATTGTCATCTTGAGTTACAACTTTTCGAGTTACAAAAGATCCGGTCTTTTATAGATCCGGTTACAACTAAATCAAAGAAAAAAAAATAAAAATTACAACTTTCCTCTTGTGAACAAATCGCAAGCTCCTGTTTTGCGGTTGCTTGCTTGTGTGGGTTCTTTGCCAACGCCGGGGTTAATCCGTGGACCACCGCGCGATCTAGATCCGGTCGGATCTACACGAGTATGCGGGTATTATTCCACGAAGGGAATAATAGCCGGGAGGGATTAATCCACCAAGGGAATAATCGCTCAGATCTCGAGATCTAAGACCAAGCTTAGATCTGGAGTGTAGTCTCGTGTAGATCTCAGATCTGTTCTTTCTTCCTCTCGAGATCCTGCCTTTTCTGACGTGGATGGTCGCCGAGGATCAGCTCGGCCTTGGCCGAGCCACCTTGAGGTGGCTCGGCCACCGAGCCACCTCAAGGTGGCTCGGCTAAGGCCGAGCCACCTTGGGGTGGCTCGGCTTTGGCCGAGCCCCCGCGGGCGGTGTTTTCCGACTTTTTCGAGTCGTTTTCCGTTGTCTCGTTTGTCCGTGTTTCGGTTGACTTGAGACTCTGATTGGTTGATCTGATTTGGCAGTAAGTTGGATTCCTGATTTGGCAGTAAATCCGCTTCTGAGTTCGAGTCCGAAACTGATCTTGATTCGATCGTGGTTCGTCCGAGTCCGCTCTCGGTTGGATGACTCGTTGATTCCTCAACTCATTAGCTTGATTCTGCACGCAGGTGGATGCATTCCGTCGCTTCTGTGCGATTCGTCGATCTCGTCGCCTCGTTGGTTCGTCGGTTTGTGCCGAGCTGTGCTAAGGGACCTATAAGCAATTTTATATGCCTACAATAATAAGATAGCCCTTGTCATTGTATCCTCTTTCTTATATACATATAGTGTTAAAAACTATAATTGAATATACATAAAATTTAGCAAATAATTCAATACTAAAATAAATTAAAATTCACTTACATTGCCATCGTTCAATTCCTTTACATAAAAAATTTCATTAATTTTACCATCGTTGATTTCAAACTTGACCTATGTGCTTAATGATCATGTTCCAGTCTCAAAATTTTGATATTGAGTTGGCACATCAATAGAATTGACAAAAAAGATAAGTAAAATAATTACTTATAATGTAATTTTAATAATTTTGAATACATTTTATGAAAATGAAATTGTATTATTTCACAAAAACTTTGTTGACATAAATTCGGTAACTGAATTATTTAGGTAAAAAATTTAGCTTTATAAATATTAAAAAAATGTAAATTAAATAATCAAAATTATATAAAAATGAAAAAATTACAATTAAAATTCCAAATTTAAAAACTAAATTATTTTGATTAAAAACTTTAAAATTTAAGATTAATTTAATAATGGAAATATTTTAAATAACCAAAAATATATTTTCACAACTATCTAAAATGGAAAAATATCTAAATTAAATTTGGAAATTAGGAAAATTAAATTTCAAACTATATGAAAATGGAAAAAATTAAATTAAAATTTATAAATTTAGTAACTAAGTTATTTGGGTAAAAATTATAATTTTAAAATTATATAAAAATAGTAATTAAATTTTCACAATTTTGAATACTATCTAAATTAGGTAGTTAACTTAAAGTAATATTTAGTAGTTTAAATTGATAGCATATATTTGGTAAGATTAATTTAGTAATTTAAAATTTACTAAAATTTTGGTATTAATTCAAGTGTATTTTGAATTATAATAATTAAAGTAATATTTCGCAATTTAAAATTTACTAAAATTTTAGTATTATTTAATTCACTTTTTACTGAAATCAATTTTATTATTAACACAATTTTCTATTATGAAAATAAATTCTCTAAACCATCTAAATGAAAAAAAATAAAAAATTCAATTAAATTTGCAACTTTGAAAACTAATTTATTTGGGAAAAGTTTTAATTGCGAAAATATTTTTAAATATCAAAAAAGTATTTTCACAAATATTTAAAAATAAAAAATCTAAATTAAAATTTAGAAATTAGGTAACTAAATTTAAATTATTTGAATTCACAAACTCTTGATTTACATAAATAACTTTGAATTTAATAAACTTTCACAAATTTATAAAATTTAAAAATCTAAATTTCAAAATTAATATCGAAAAATATATTATATAAGAAAAATTCCTCAAGGACCCAAAATATGGGAACACTAGGGGGGACAAGTGAGGTGTCCCCCTACTATTGGATAATGAGTTGGCCATCATTAACGATGGCTAACTCATTATCCAATATATAGGAGGGGGACACCTCACTTGTTCCCCCTATTAGTCCCATATTTTGGGTCCCTGTAGCAAAGCTCATTATATAATTGCTATGTTTTAGAAAATCAATATCTTTTACTCTAACATATTCAATAAAGCATGTCTAGAAATTTGAATCAAAATATGCATTGAATTATGATTGATAATAACTATTAGATTTTAAAAATATTAAAATATAAATAAATAATCATGTTAAAGTTATATTAAATACCTAAATTATGTTCTCTAGACAACAAAAGCACCGTTAATTAAAGATAAAAAAATCATCAATTTATTTTCCTGCAACAATGTTTAGCAGAAATAAATTAAAAGTGCAACAATTAAATATAAAAAATATTAAACATATTTAGTTAAAAATAATCATACAAGAGTTTTAGAATAAATACCTAAATAATCTTTCTCCAAGTAACAGTGCCTTGGATCATAGATAAAATATTGGAGAGTTGTTTCTAGGAATTAAAACTCAAGATCCCGACAAAATAATATTTTTCGATAATAATTAAAATCAAAAAATAGTAGACAAATCAGAAAAAGAACTATATTGGATAGGGGTAGATTAAATACCTAAATTATTTTCCTTCAATCTGGTCGAAGATAAAAAATCAAAGATTCTTTTGGCTCTAATGTATTTATGTAAAATTAAAAATTAAAATTGTAAATATTATATATAAAAAAAATTAATTAAACATACAAAAATTAAAATAAGTATTTAAGGGTTGTAGAATAAATATCTGAATAATCTATCTCCAAGTAAAAGTGCCTTAGATTGTAGATAAAATATTAGAAAATTATTTCTCAAAATTAAAACTCAGGATCCAAAAAATTAATATTTTTAATAACAATTAACACTAAAAAATTCTACAAAAATTAAAATTAAAATTATATTGCATGGAGGTTGATTAAATAGTTGGATTACTTTCCTCCAAGCATTAAAAAAATCATTGACCGAAGATAAACAATTGGAGGTTATTTTTTTACATGCAATAATGTTTTACTAAGAAAAATTAAAAAAGCAACTATGAGATATAAAAAATAATAATTAAACATATAACATTAGGAATAACCAATTGCGGGTTGCATAATAAATGCTTGGAAAATATTTCTGTAAGAAAAAGTACTTGGATCGTAGAAAAAAAGATGAGAGAATAGTTTATAGGAGTTAAAACTGACGATCTAAAAAAATTGGAAAACAATTAAAATTGAAAAAAACCATACACAAATTAAAATAAAAAAATATTGGAAAAGGATAGATTAAACACCTGATGTATTTTTCGAAGATCAGAAAAATTCAGAGATCGGGAAAAAATTTTCATTGAATATTTTATTTACGTGAAACTACAAAACTGAAAATTATTCTTTTTTTTCATTTTGGAAAGAAATGGCTAAATGAAGTTATGAGGTTTTGATATTATTTGTGATTTGAATTAGTTAAAGATATTGCAAAATATACACTAATTTATTTTAATTTGGTTATA